GTTGCATTAAGGATGCTCAAACTGTTGTGAAATACTTCAGATATTTATATTTTCACTGTCTTCCTAAAACTCCTTAATCATTCTTTAGAATTATTTCCATTCATTTCAGTTTTCAAGTAATAATTCAAACATTTTTGATAGGCTTTAAAATTGCATGCTTTATTAGTGAGGTTCATTATGATCATTCGATCAATCTGATACATCTTATAGAACAGAGAAACAAATGATGGCGGGTCGAAAAGGTTTCCATTTAATTCACTATTCTGGACAAGCTTTAAATGTTCTAACAGCTCTACATTTAATTCCTCCTAACAGCTCTACATTTATTAATATTGAGTTACTTGAAACATTCGAGAATGTAACCTATCCTATCTTAGTATACCCAAACTTTACCGCTTTATCATATCATGAAAAGTATTGTAATAAATAATGGAATGACAAATGTTCAAATCATCGCTCATTTCATTTCTATGATTAAAAAAAAAAAAAAACGATCAAACCACCAAACATCGATTTTCTAAAGTTATGAAAATGAAAGATATGTTCTGTTCATTCGAAGGCGTTCCAAGAAAACAAGAAAAAAAAAATTGAAGCTGTTAAATGAAACCTGTCTTTCAGGAAAATTTGCTAAATTTCAAAAACATTAGAATTATTTTTTTTTTTTGAAAGTCTTTTTTCTTTTGAATAATGATTCATTTTGTACCACAATAGTATGTAAACCTATCATCATCGGATAGGTTTATCGTATCATATCATCGCAAATCGTATAATCGGATAAGTTTATTAGGATAATTGTTATTTAATGTGTCGCATGCGAAGACAATTAACACATCTTCTACGCGATTATAAAACTTTTGAATTGTTACGACGAATATTTTTGCATAGTATTCACTCTTTTCGTCATTTTTTTTTTGAGTTGCGATATTCTTCAAATAAAATTGATTTGCACTTTTTATATTCCACTAAAGAAATAGAAAAACCATCAAGAAATTCTATTAACTTTCTATATTTCAAAAATTGCTTTTAGAAGCTCAACATTTAAATTATGAATTAAGTTAACAAACAATTTTTTAAATCAAATACAAAATGAATAGAATTATTCGCAAAAGTGAATTATCCCTTTTCATTCATCGTTCTCTTTTGAAATTTCTGAAGCATTTGCTGTGAGATTTGCAACATCGCTGTTCCGCTGAATAAAAATTTTTGTAAATCGGTTCAATTTTTACTTAGTATTGATCATAGATGCCATTAAAAAAAGTTAATTCTATCTTGTAGTAAACTATCATTTTCATATTCTTATGATCATGTAATATTTTTTTCATGCTAATTAATAAAGTCTTGAAAAGAACGATTGAAATGATTAACATTTTTGAATCTTTTTTACTATTTCTTTCAATAATTAAAAGAAACATACTCGATTATACTTCACAAAAGTATCGTTCAAAATGGAAAGCATAGGAACTACAATGTTGTAATAGCATAATTCAGCGACACCCGTCTGTGGTAATGCTAAGAGCATCAAAAATAGCATCTAAACTTATGAAGTTGAATTTAAAATTAAAATTTAAAAAATTCTCGAAAACTGATTATATTTTTTAAATTTTAACTAAGAGAACTTGAGAAAATTTTCCAGAAACAAAAATCATAAAATAAATGAATTTGAAGTTTCATTATCAAATTATTCATAACCTTTAGTAAAAGAAATGGCGAGAAGAACTGCGTCAACCATTCGGTGTAGTAATCTTGCAGTATGAAAAATGCAAATACAATCCAATAGATAAGCCAATGTTCACGTTGTTTGCGTGCTTTATTCTTGTGAATTGTCAAAGACTGCAAAATTTGCAAAATTCAAAAAAAAAGGAACATAGGCTTACGGTAGCATCGTTTATTGATATATAATATATATAAGGAAGATGGCAGAGTTATTAAGAAGATTTTTAATGACCAGACAATAAGTTTCAATTAGATGAGAAATTAAAAGAAATTTGAGTGAAGAAACCCTGGTAGTTTCATATGCGGGATAAAAGCAGCTAACGATGGCGCACAATAACGGGTCGAAATTTTGTAATAATACAAATGCAACTAACAAAAATATTGCTGTATAAAAAATCTGCAAATTAATGAAAAGATGAGAAAAACTGGCATGACTACACTAAACCTATTTTTTATTTCATCTAAATATAAATCTTAGATAAAAATACAAAATCAAATTTTATTAATCATTGATAACTGCAGTGATAACTAGCTATGATCTTAAGCTATCACAATTTCATTAACAGCAATTTATTTTCCTAAGGGTAAATTTTTAGCAGCACTAAATATCCATTTATTCTGAATCGAACAGATCATTAGTGCTTATCATAAATGAACATTAGCGCTTGCAAATAATGAGCACTTTAAGTATTAAATTTGTTTCTCAGTTATTTAAATTACTTCTTAGCAATACATTTCATTATAACTCGTTGGATAGCATACTGTATTCGTCGTTTTGTTTTGAATTCGACAGAATCTAAAAAAAGAAAGAACAAACCTGTTCTCTTTTAATTACTATTTTGCGTTCTATGAAACAGAATGCCTCATTGATGTGAATATAATCTTTGTTGTAAAGAATTTTATTGAACAAAAATTGATGCCATGCTTCCAATGATTTTCCTTCTTTGAAGAAATTATTTTGAATTGTAGCGATTGTATTGACCAAAGAATTTCGTAAACTTTCTGATGCTCCCTCTGAGGAATCATCAGATTCATCTTCAACATCATTCCTTTCATTCTGGCTACTGTTTTCACTTGTTTTGCATAGAGATGAACTTGATGATTCCGTTTTCTTCTCCTCCTTATTCATCATTTAGATACTATCGATCTGTTCGTAATACCAGTTATAATTGAGAAATATCGATTTGCTCGTAATAATATTCGTTATATTTGAAAATTATCTCCAGCTAATGTTTTTCATTCAAATTTACTGATAATTTATATGAACATGTATTGAAAATGAAAGATTTTCATGAAATATTTTACATATTTTAAATTTAATGGTTGAATGATACTTTATTAATTAACAATTAAAAAATTTATAATCAATCACTCTTTATGATTGTTGAAAAATTTGCTCCAGGTACAAAAATGGAAGTAACAGCTGCGATCAGCAGGAAGAAAGGGAATGGAATGGAAAGTGTTTCAAAATGCTGTCATTTGTAATTTATATGCGCAGTTACAATTCATTCATATAAATGAGGGAAATATATTTGTACTGTGATAATATGCAAATTGTGTAACTAAAAAGATGAAATGAGATTTATTTAATTGAAAAAATATTTCGTGAAATTATTTAAACAGGCGATGAAGTGTTAAATTTTAAAATCTACACCATGTCGCTTCATCTACATGATTAAATTCTTGATAGTGTAAAATGTCCCTTTGAAAGATTTCAAAATCCAGGAAACTCTTCGAATTTTTTTTTTAAAAAAAGAATTCTATTAGATAACTACGATATAATAAAAATAATACTATTTTTCTTTACTAATTTGTTACCCAGAAGCAATCAAAATTAAATCAAGAAATTGAATTTGACTGAACAATAATTTTTGCTTAAAATAAGCAATCTTGTTGAAGTCACTTCCCAAAAGTTCTTAATAGCCAGCTAATTCAATTCCATTACTCATTGATCCACAAATACTGTAATTTGGTTTGTTTCCGTTTCCTCATCAAATAAAATACGCATATATGAGGCAATTACTTGAAATGAATTGAAAATAAATTAACACGAGGAGACGTCATAAATATGTGAATATGCATGTTAAGGATTACTTTCGAACTTTTTGTGAAACTGAATTGAATTTTTGTGGAACACAGAAGCTGTTAAATAATCTAATTATTTTGATGCCAATTATATTCATTTCGGAAAATTTTATTTCTTTCTGCAGCTGTTTTGTAGTCTTTTAGTTCAAAGAGCAATTTCTCTATGATTCTAAGAATTTTAAATAAAATTTTGGTACGGTCATTTCTGGGATTTAGAAATTCATAGAGCTTGTATAGTTGAATTCATGAGTAAGCAGAAAAATGAGATGTTTAAAATTAACCAAAAATTTCAATTTCTGATTTGTCGTAAAATTTAGATTCAAACTGTTCAACTCGTCACAAATTCATCAATTCCATTGTTTGACTGTACAAAACTGCAGAATAATGTGTATTTGTCGGGATGTTTTAATTCATCGAACGGAATGGACTCCATTTGTTTCAATTATGATTTAAATTGTTTGAAGTACAAAAGTAAACTAATTGTTGTGTTACGATTAATTTGATTAGTTTTTGATTATGGGGATCAAAAGGTTTAAATTTGTTAGCAAATGAAAATCAAGAATTAAAAATTCAATTTTTGTAAGATTTGAAAATACTCCGGGATGCAGGAGTACATCCGGATTCTAATTAGGTCGAATTGACTGTCTGCTCCCCTTGCGCTATTTTCAACAGTTTGTCTCTACTAATTAATAATGCAAAAGATATGTTTATCATCCTTAATTAGAATTTCCTTCATAACTAATTGTTTTGAGTGCTTGATAGGAAATTCCAAATTGATAGATTAAAAAAA